TGCTCTTGCAAATTAGGGTTAGTTAGCGAAAATCCAAAAAGCAGAAAGTTGGACGCATCAAAAACTTCAACTCGATTACAAAAATCAAAAATTTTAATGCTCCACGGCACTACCTACTGCGGTAACGCCCCCAGTCGGGCGACACAGAGCTTGAAAGGGAGGCCACAATGAGGACCAGGTCAGAAATTGTCGGTCGTTTCGTGCTTTTTTTATGCTAACTAAAAGGACCGCTTTTTAATTTGGGGTATCATGCAATAAAATATTCGGTTAAGCCCCCCCCTTTATTTTGATTTCTATCCACTGGCAAAGTTTCAAGTCGATTTGACACTGCAGACCATAACCTTCCCTTACATTAATGGAACGTATTTTCAAAATTTGCGAAAAGGACAGATGGGGAAAGTTACGGAGCCCTAAAGCGTTAAAATACTTTGGCCGTTTTGCCCTCTAACCTTTATTGTGGTCGCCTCACTTGGATTCTGGAAATCTAGGTTTAATCAGCAAAAATTCTGCACAGATCGACGGCTTTGATCAAATTTAGAAATTCGGTGGACACTAAAAGCATATACCATCCTTCCTTAACAGCAAGAATTCTATACATTCTTCTACACACTGCGTTTCAACATTTCCCAAATAAACTGGTGCGCTTGTGCCTGTTACATTTAGCCTACTGAAAATATCCGTTAAAAAAGCTTTATCAGACAAACTCCGCAAAACACCGAGGGCGCGGACAATTGAGATTAAGTTGGATGAAAGCTGAAACATGCGAAGGACAACAATGCAGCACCCGAGGAATATAACCAGCAAGCAAAACAAAAACAAGGTGGCAACTCGTCCGATCGCGATTAGAGGCGGGGCGGTGTGGTGGTAGGTGATGATTCTATTCCATGCCCGGAGTTGGGGTTCTTCAAGATTCGTCATACCCAGCGCATCACCTAAGAAAGGAGTTTGTCAAAACGTAAAAGAAACAACAACAAACCTCGTCAACCAACAACAAATTGCAGGCGAGAGCCGTGCATGAAGAAGCGAATTCTTCTTCCCGATTACGTTATCCTAGATGCCCTGAATATTTATTTTTAGCTATTAAGTAGCAAATTATACCACATCAGGTTTGCTGGGAGACCGGTGTCAATGTCGAGGCCAATCGCCTGATCCGGATTCTTTTGTAGTTCCTCGACCTACAAGCGGACTAACTGAAAAAAAAATGAGAATTGGTTTACCATCACAATAATCTAGGGCATCTGCATGCCCCGCGTTTACCGCCAACGTCTTTGGGATGACGAGAAGCGCCGTCGCGTAGGCCTTAAAATAAACCTATTTCGCTTAAGTGTTCTTTATACCTCAGCGCCGAGCTTTGCACGCCCCTTCAGGTTCTTTATCTCATCCTTGAGCATACAGTAAGCGGCAATCTCCCCAGCGCCAGCTCCAGGAAGCACTGTAGCTGAAAATCATGTTTGAATCTAAGGAAGAGGCAGTACCGTCTGTAATGGCATTGGCACGGCCATAAACCATCGTGAATGGCATCGCCAGTCTGGACGATGGTGTGCCTGAATTAAATAAATGTAAGATTTTGACAGCCTCACTTGTTTGGGCCCTTCAGCAGCAGTGTGACTGACTTTGGATCCTTGCAGTCCTCGACGAAGGTTGTTGTTGTCCTCTCCCTAAAAAACTATCCTACCTTACATAAATTGGCGTGTATCTGTGTGTGTGTATTGTGTGTGTGTGTGTGTGTTTATTATTAAGCCCGTTGTGTGTATTGTATATGTGTGTGTGTGTGTGTGTGTGTGTGTGTGTGTGTGTGTGTGTGTGTGGCCAATGGTGTCGTGTGTGTGTGTGTGTGTGTGTGTGTGTGTGTGTGTGTGTGTGTGTGTGGCCGTATTATTGTGTGTGTGTGTGTGTGTGTGTGTGTGTGTGTGTGTGTGTGTGTGTGTGGTGTGTGTACATGTGTGTGTGTGTGTGTGTGTGTGTGTGTGTGTGTGTGTGTGTGTGTGTGTGTGTGTATGTATGTATGTGTATGTGTATGTGTATGTGTATGTGTATGTATGTGTATGTGTATGTGTATGTCAGTTTCGAGACCGGTTGAGGGCCTTCCGTGTCCAAAACGTCCCAATTCTCCGTCACTTGGGGGAATCGACCTTCTGTTCCCATCCCGTTCAGATTTCGATAAAATACACGTTAAAGTTGAAAGCCAGTTTACACTCATTTTTGAAAGGGTCCCTGAGGGCTAATTTGCATAATGTGAAAAAATACAAATTTCCTCATTCTTGCAAGTTGCACGCGCGCGTTTGGTCGGACAAGGAGGGGTCAGAAGGACCAAGGCTGCAGGAAGGCAAATTTCTCATGCAAAGGCCACATTCCAGCGCCTAGGGCCCGCCGAAGAGGATTTCGGGCGCTGGTCTAACTACTATAGAGAAAAAAAAATAGGAAATAAGATCAGGAGGTTTTGTAAAAAGATTTCGAAAATCTCTTTGTTAGGGGCAATTAGCTTGCGCCGAAAGTAGGAAGAGCCAATATAAAGGGACAAGGCCGTTTTTTCACTTTTTCTTGCTAGAATTAAGGAAGAAACATGCAAATCAAGGACTTTCACAGGTCCTAGACAGGGACAGTTGAAAAGCCGCGAAGCGATTCTTATATCTTTTATTCCCGCACCAATGTGTGTTCATAGACGAGTCCTGCGCAGCCCAACGCGTCAGCAATAAGTTTCCTCTAGCGCTGTTCACGGCCTAGAACATGCTTATAAAACCAACATTATCCGAACCTCTCCACCAACAGCCAGCTGGAGGCGTTCCATGTTTCTCCTCTTGGCACGTCGCAGAGCCATAATACCAGCCGACGCCAGTAGATCCAGCGACGGCGGATCGATTCCCTTCCGGTTGATGACGACGAGCCCTTGCGCTTCTTCGGGTCAGTCTCATCACCGCAGACCTACAAAATAAATATATAATCATACTAAAAGTTAATATACCGGTTTCTTCAACTCGATGATACGCTCAACGCGCTTGGTGATGAAGTCACGTTCAGCAGCCAGTAGCTTCTCTCTCGCGTTCCGTAGCCGATTTGTGAAGAGACCGGAGTTTACCTCCTTAAAAGTGACTAATTAAAGGGTTCGCGCCAACGTCTTCTCGTATTCGAGCGACGTTGCACGTCAAGATGTAGGCGTTCTCGACGTGTCGCGGCATATCCGGATGACGAGCTCCATAGGTCCAAAGCGAGACCACGAACTAGGGTCGTGTCCTAAAATAAATCAGTTAGTGATACTGAATCCCAAAAGAATACCATATCACTTTCATGTTGCATCATCTCCTATGGAGCTCGACCATGTGCAGGTCGGGGACTTGGCCCTCCTGACGGATGGTGAGCACGGCGTCGACAAGCACAATCCGTAATATGGTCGGCGAGCTTCTGGTTCCAGCTTGGTTCGCAGCGGGTGCGCCACGTTGATCAGCGTCTCGCAGTCAATCTCCTTTGTTACCTAAAAACCCTGATTAACCATCAGCAAAGGTGCAAAAACCTTGAATTTCTCCAAAAGCTCCATCGTTTTTAGTTGGCCCATTCGAAGCCCTCGGTGATCAGACGAGGATGTACCCTCCAGCACGTGGTTCTCCTGGCCTGCTTGAGCAGTTCGCCGATCAAAGCACCGTCGACGTGGTCCCATCTCCGGTGACGTCGTCTTGAGCCGTCGACGCCTTGGCAATCGTGACGCCGTTGGGTGCTGAATGGCCATCTCGTGGAGCAGCACGTTCGCCGTCCTTCGTCAGCTTGATGTCGCCCGAGCCAGAGACAAGCCTGGAGAAATGGGTGAACGAAAGGCCGCTCTCACATCTTGATCGTGCCCTTCGGTCCAAGGTTGGAGCGCATCACTTCCCTGGAGGCCACAGGCCCCGCTGTGTTCAGCTCGAGGGCGGCGGCGTGGTCGAGCGAGCTCGGCCTTGGGGTTCAGACACTGGATAGACGACATACCTGAAAGATAAAAATTATTGGGTTCCAGAATAAAATCTTTCGCAAATAAATCAGAAACCATTTTCAAGGACAAGATTGATCTAAGCGTTCGGTACTTATCAAGTTGGGGGGGTCACTTTGGGTACTTATTAGGGGACGCTTTTTTATCGCTTTTCCGAGTCTATCTGGGGGTAGTTTTTACACTGAGTGCATGAGGAGTAGCCACAGCATGCGAAACCGTCAGGTTTATCCAGAAAAACCGCGTAAAAATTTATTAATAAAAATTGTATTTTACTACTCTGATTTTGTTATATTCGAAACCAGTACAAAAAACTAGCCTAGAAAGACTCAAAAAATCGAAAACCAAAGTGCCCCCCCAGCAGTAAGTACCAAGCGTTCTAGCTAGCGGGGATCTACAAAGATCGCTCTTACAACCTTTACAACCGAAAATAAGAAAAATCTGGCGGGATTTGGAGCAATCACGCTAGACGCAAAACATTTTTTAAAAGTGCAGGTATTTTCGGGAAAGGCACGCTAACTCCTTGCATTAGATTCTCAGCGAAAAAGATCTATTTTACATCGCTACAACCGAAAGTAAAAATATATACCGTGAATTGGGTGGATAAGCTAAACGTAAAATGCACATTAGGCGATCGAAACATTTGTTAGGAGCCAGTGTAATTTCGAGTTGATCGGGGTGCCGTCATTCGCCAGCTTCTGCTCCGTCTCCTGGCGCCAGCAACGCTTAATACGCTCCATCGCCAGGTAGCGATCATCGCGAGTGGCTGCCGCTTGCGCCAAGCGATTGAACCGCACGTAGCGTTGCGTCGCACCGCCGCCCGAAAATGCCCAGGACGACAGCTGACGCAGCAACGTCTCATGCTCTTGCACCCGAGCCAACGTCCTGGCTTCAGCTGTCTCCAGCGGTTGCAGAAACGCCTCGACCTGCGCCTCATCCCAGCTGGGGTAGAGCTCAAGCAAGCGAGTGGCCAGTGGGTCTGCCACGGTGAATGCATTCTCCAGCCCGCCCGCCAACAGCTCTGGCCGGGTGCCGGCCAGCCGCTCCCGATAGGCCTTGACCTGTAGATGGACGTCGTGGGTAAACCGGTTGTCCTGCAACAAGGTCACCCGATTGGCCTTGGCCTGGGCCTCCAGATGCTCGGGCGCAGGGTTGAGAACGTCCGCAGGCACCTCGCGCAATGAGTTGTCACGCAGATCCACCCGTTGCAAGTCGGCTTGATCACGCAACCCTGGCGGCCATTGGCGAGTGTAGGTCCCTCTGAGGTTAATCCGTCGCAAGCTGGGCATGCGGCTGAAATCCGGCAAGCCTCTGGACATATTCTGGTCCTGCAGGTTCAGGTCTTGCAGCTGGGTCAACCCTTCCAGCAGCACGACGTCAGCCTCGTTTGCCTCGATCATGCAACCGCTGAGGTCCAGGTGGGTCAGGCCCTGCATCCGGCCGATGGACTGCGGGATCTCGCTCAGCCGCTGGTCCTTGATACGCAGGCGCTTGAGCCCGGAAAAGCCATTGAGGAAGGCGTCGGCGCTGACATTAAAGGAGGATTCTTCCAGCACCAGTTCCTCAATGTAAGGAAAAGGGACGTTCAGCGGCGGTAGTTCCGTTCCCATTTTAAGGGTCAGTGTGGTGTCGCCCTGGCGCTGCCAGGCGCGTATGAGGCGTTGGGACAGCTGGTCTCTGCGTGCGTTAAAGCCTCGAGTGTTGCCGGCATGCGCGGCCAGTTTCCTTGCCCAGTCGTCCAATCCACGCGTCAAGGTAGCGAACTCGGCCTCAAGGCGGGTCAACTCGGTGCCGGCCGTGTCGCCCAGGGTTTGCAGGAACGCATCGGCTTGCAACTCCAGTGAAGCCTGGGAACAGCTTCCGTACCCGGCCACGTGGCGTACGGAACAAGCCCGCCATCTGCTGAAACAAAGGCATGCCGCCCAACAGGCGGGAGCCTGGCTCCAGGCTGGGCTTGAGCACACGCCGCTCGTGCAACACCGCGCTGAAAGCCTCCCGTGGCATCGGCGCCTGGAGCACGCTCTGCTTCAGCCGCTCGGCCTCGCGCCGGGTATAGCCCAGAGCCTGACGTTCCTGCGGCAACAGGTCACTCAATACCGAGGCATACAGGCCGCCGGTTCCGTCGAGAGCAAAGCCTGAGCCCTCGTTGACCACCAGCACGCCGCGCAGCGGTGACGATGGCTCCCCAAGCGTATCCAGCAGGCGCCCGCGGGCGCCGCCTTCTCGCAGCTCGAAACGCACGTTTGCCGGCCAGCCTGGCAGGGTTTCCAGGCTATGCAGCGCCAGCCGCTCGCTGTCGACGCTGGAGCTGATATCCAGGTGCAGCCCCTCATAAGCTCGGTTGACGCGCAGCTCCTGCTGGCACCACTGGGCCAGGCTATCGATGCGCGGCGGCAAGGCGCCGGGATTGGCGAGCGCGTCCAGCTCCGTCGTGGTGGCCTGTTCAAGCAGTTGCTCGACCACCGCGTCCGGCAGGTGTGGATAGCTCGCCTGGATACGCCCGACCAACGGGTCGGCACCGCTATTGTGCTGTTTGTAGAGCGATTCAAAGAGCATCAAGCGATTGCTCTGCGCATCCGCAGCAATCTCCTTGCGCAATGCTCCGGCACGCTTGGCAACACTCATTTGCGAGGTCCCGGGCACAGCGCTCAGGTCCACGCCCTGGACTTTGTACATCGTCAGCAGGGACTCAAGGAGCGAGCCATTGGTGCGGGTTGGCTCATCCACCACAATGACCTGCCGAGACGCGGTCCCCTCCACGGGCGCGGGGTCTTCCCATACGTCAACGAGCCCGCGGAGCATCACGCGTAACAGGGGCTTGGCTGGCAACAAACCCTGCTCGCGCATGATCTTGAATTGCAGGCGCAAGTCCGCTTTGGCGAGGTCTTGAGGGCGATCACTGGCGATCTGCTGCGCGAACACCTCAAGGTCATGTTCAATGCGAAAACGGCTGAGGGTATCGCCGAGCAAGGCCGAGGGTTGATCCTGTTCAACGTACATGCGCCGCAGATCGTCGACTTCGACGCCACTGGCGACGCGTACGCGTTCAAGCTGTGCATCGTCCAGCCCCTGGGCACGGTAGCCCAGGCGCTTCATCAGTGTCGGACCATCCCAAGTCAGGGGTTCGTCGGCGCCATGGGTCCAGATCCCGGCGCCATTGTGTTCCAGCGCAACGGCGTAGCCATCGGGGCGGGTCGGATGGGGAATCTGGAATTCGCCGCTGGCCAGGTCTTGCTCGACCGCATAGTGGCCGCCGTCGAGGGGCAAAATGTCCTGGCCGTTATGGCGATGCAGGCCCAGGTCATTGGGCTGCGATTCCACGGGCAAGCTCACCTCAGTGCGATAGGGCACAAGGTCGGGCTTCCACAGACGCTGCTCGCCGCCGGGCAACCTGACGGGTTTGAGTTGATCGATCAGCGCCGGTGTCTCGACCTTGGGCAACTGTGCCAGACCCTTGCCGGCGCCCGCCATCAGCGCCATCAAGGCCAGGTTCTGCGCCACATCCAGCAGGTGCTGGCGGGCGGCCTCGCGGTCACCCAGGCTCCAATCCATCACGCCCTCGAATATCTCGGCCAACAGCTGTTCCACCATGACGGCCATCATCACCTCACCCAGCACCGGCACGAACATCGACACCAGACCGACCACCGCAAAACCGCCCTCCCACAGGTGGGCGATTTTCCGGGCGCGGACCTTGGCATCCACATCGGCGGTAGGCACGGCCTGGTGGCGGGCATCAGCGATGATCTTGTCGCGGTTGCTTTCGTAGAGGTCGGCCCACAGGTCGACATTAGGCGACCACAGGCCGTACCGGGCAACCACCATCGGCTTGAGTTCAGGGGCATGGGCGGTTTCCCGTGGAGCGGGGTTTTCCGGCGGCAACTCCTGGGGCTTGAGCAGTATCGACGTGAGAGGATTGGTCACTTCGAACACGCTCTGGAACGCCGGCGAGCGGGCCACGGCCCTCAGGTTGGCACCTGAATCCGAGACCGCCTCGGTAAACCGGCTGAAGTAATAAGGGCGCTTGTCACCGTCGACAAACTGACTGAAAAAGCGCTGGTAACGTGTGGGTTTCGGCCCCGTGGCGGAACTGGCCGGCGTGGCATCCGCCGCCAGCAATTGCCGCGTGAGTTCTTTTTCAGGTCATCAAAGTGGTTGTAACGCTTGAACGGATGCTCGGGGTCATGGGGCACATAGACAATCGAAACGTCGCCATAACGGTACTTCTGCACCGGCTCAAACACCACGCAGCCCTTGAGTTTGAAGCCCATGACGCTCAAGGCACAGAACCACACCGGCTTGCCCCCAAGCGTGGGATTGCGTTCGCCGTCGATAACCTTCAACACCATCGCGTAATCGTCAGGCTCGATGTCTTGCTTGACCAGGGCCAGGTACGCCGCCGCCCGCATGGCATCCTTTTGGGCGGTGGTCACCACGTGGCGCAGGACGCTGTCGACAGCCGCATCCTGCGGCTTTAAAAAGCCCTTGATATACGCCTGATACTGGGCGCCGATATCCAGGCTGCGGCACAGGTTGATGAACTGCTCAACGCTCAACAAGGTGCTGACCGACGCGCCATCCTTGGTGGTAAAGCCTGAGGACGGGTCAAAAAAAGCCTGCCTCACTTTCGCCCGCTTCAAAGTTATGCAGGGCCGCGTGCAGGAGCGAGACATTCAACACATTGAACTCCCCGGCCTTGATCCCCAGCACACCCAACTTCAAGGTTTTTCCAGGTTGATAAAGGTGTTGTCCACGTCCAGTTCGACCTGGAACCGGTCCTTGAGCGCCTTGGACAACTGCGCACGACCAAACACCTCGACCGTCTGCAAGTTCGCCATGCGCTCGCTCACCACTTGCTGTGATTGCAGGCTGGCGCGGGTGTAGCGTTTCAAGGTCTGTTGCTCTTGCGGCAACAGGCCCTGGAACCAGGACTGTTGGGACAGATCATCCAGGGTGATCTCTATGCGGCGTTGCGCGGAGGCTTTGATCAGCCAGGCGGGTAGCGCTTTTTTTGACAAATTCCTGGTTGGACAGGGAGAGGTCCGGTAGTTCGGATGAGTGGCGTCCTTGCCGAGGTAACATGATCAGGTTCTCTGCAGGTTGAATGAGGGTTTTGACGGACGTTCCGGTCGCGATGAGCCGGGAGGATCGACGACTGACCAGCACCTGGTCAGTCAAGGTCTTGAAAATCGTCGAAAGTTCGTCCCGAAGCTCGATGAAAAGCCCGGTGTACTCGTCATCGGTCATCTCGCGTCCGGCCGAAAACTGGCCTTGGGGCTTGCCGAGCACACGCACCGATGCATCGATGGTTTGCGTCAGCCCGGCTTTGTCCTCGATCGACAAATTGTCGTTGTCCACCCAGCGGCTCATGGCCTCCTGCAAACGGTTCAGCGCTTCGATTTTTCCATTCAGCCCCACAAACGCCTCGGGCTTGGCGCGTTGCAGGTAAGCCGTCCAAAATTCCATCTGCACGATGCTGTCCCGCAGCAAGTCGCCTTGCTCCAGCGCGAGTACTCGCAGGTACGCAGCCTCCACCATCGATGCAGTGACGTCAGGCTCAAGGAACCTCATGCTGTGCGATTGCCAAGGCAGCTCGAGGCGATCCCTCAGGTGCGTCACGTAGGCCAGGTGAATTTCCACCTCATCAATCGCCCGCACCGGGTTGCCTGCGGCGTCCCGCCACTGAACCTGATGCCCCTCAGCATCGTATTGCGGAAACTTGCGCCCCAGGGCGACCAACTCCCCGACCCTGGCATGGGCGATCCGGCCCAGCTCATCAAGGCGGGACTTGCCGATGGCCAGTGACAACAACTCAAGCTGCACCAGGTCCGGGCGGGAGGCGCTGTAGGCTTCCGACAGCAACACCTCAACCCCCATGGCGTTGAACAATTGCGCGCCGGCATCGACGCAGGTGGTCGGTGCGGCGGCCATCCCAAACAGTTTGTCGCGCAGGTCGAGGTCGTTGTACATCGCGCCGAGCATGCGCCAGACCTTGGCGGTGAGGTCGGCCTTGAAGCCCATAGCCGCATCGCCGGAATGCCTGAGATTACGAATTTCGTTGAAAAATGGCTCAGAGCCCAGCGACTCCTCCAGTGCATCCCACACCGGTTGCCTGGCCGACCATTGCGATTGGCTCAAGCCGGACTTCCAGTCCGCGCTGTCCTGGATCCCCGGGGTGGAAACCGGCGGTCCGGGTCGAGCCCCACGGACTCGATATACAGCTTGAATTTTTCCAATACGTCCGGGGCAACAGCGACCGGTCAAGCCCGGTACGCACGAGGATTTGTGCCCTCTCGGAGCCCGGAGCCACATCGGGCAATTGGGTAATGGGGTTGCCGCCCAATTCCAGCTTCAACCCGCGCGGCCGGGGCTTGGCAAAGATCCCTGTGGGCCAGCCTGGCAGGCCGGTGTTATTCAAGTACAGTAACCACAGCCGCCCCATGCGGCTGATATCCGGCGACAGCCCCAGCGGGTTGCCGTCCAGATCCAACAGCAACAAACGGGTCATTTTTTTCAGGCGGGCTACCGCGACCAGGTCAAGGACCACCCGGTTTCCCGGTAGGCGCAACACTTCAAGCCCGTGCATGTGCTCCAGCGCCTGGGGCAGCCGGGTCAGCCGGTTGAGCTCCAGGTTGAGGCTGCGCAACTCGTGGAAATGCCCCAGGAACCCCTCGACCGAATCGGCCAGGCCACACTCGGAAAGGTCCACGCGGCTGACGTGATCGAAATTCGCGGTCAGTTCCGGCAGGCTTTCCAGTTGCTGGCTGAGGTCAATGTGATCGAGCTTGATGGCTTCCCCGTAATACTCCCCGGTGTCTGGGTTCACGTCTCGCGGACCAACGCGTCTCCATGCGTCCGTCAGTGCCGTGAAAAGCTTGCGCCGGCTCAGTAGTTGCTGCCTGTGGGGCTCGCTGCCGAACTCGCCGAAGCCTTGAATCGGCGCACTCAGCCAGCCTTGCAGCGTGTTGTAGAGCTCGCTGTATTCGCGCTCAAGCTTTGTGAGCCAAGCGAAGTCGACAGCAGAGTTGGCCTCCAGCAGCCACTCGATTTCCTGCGTGGTGATGCTTGGATACAGCTCACGAATGCGCGTCTCGATGCGCCAGTTCACAGCCCCCAGCCCGCGACCGCTCAGGGGATAACCACGCCTGCCGTCCGCCAGCAACTGCGGCGGTTTGAAGAACGGTATACGTGATGGCGTCATGTGCAACACTTCCCTCAGCCGCTCCCGGGGCAAGGCGTGTTGCAGGATTTTCAGCTTCAGTTGCAGCCCCTGGCCGACGTGCGGCAAACCCAGGGCCTTGCGGTGGGCGTCCGTGAGCGCGTGCTGCAAGGACTCATACAACGTATCGACACCGTGCAGTTGCAGGCCATGGCCATTGAAGGCCTGATAGCTCCCGCTCGAGACCCGGACCAGTACTTTCAGGGTCGCCGCGTTATGCGGACCATAGCTGGCACGCAGCTCACCGCCATAGGAACCGTCGCGCACTTCAATGCGCAGATTGTCCTTCCAGCCCGGCAGGGTTTCCAGGGTATTGAGCACAAGGGCTTCGGTGTCGGCGTCGGCCAGCGCCTCAAGGTACAAGCCCTCATAGGCATGCGCCAGACGCTGGGTAGCTTGCAACCTGCGGGCCTTTACGCTCAGGCGCAGAGAAATTTTACGGTGTTGGGTGAGCGCCTGCCGTTCAGCTTTGCTGGCATCGCTCAGCAGTTCCTGGACCACGATCGTCGGCAGACCTGTGAACGCTCGCTGCACCACCTGTACCTCAACGCTGGCAGGTACGACCCGGTCACTGTAGCGACTGCGGAATACCCGCACCTGATGCTTCTGCGCATAGGCCCCCAGCCGAGCCTGCAACTGTTGGCTGCGCAGCCGTGGTTCCTGGGGCAGGCTCTGGCCGAGCATGGCCTTGAGCTGGTCCTCGCTTAACACCGCGACCACCCGCTCAGGCAGTTTGCCGCGCATCAGCTCGACATGGCTGATGGGGATCAGATCGCGGGATTGCGTCTGCGTATCGCCATATTTAATGGCGACTCTTCGCTCCCCCACACCCTCAAACACCTCAATCGCTCGCCCGGCCGGCCAGTAAGGCAACTCGACCATCAGCGAAGCCGCATACGACGCCATATCGGCAGACAGCTGCCCGAGGAAAAATCTGCTCGCTCAGTTGGCTGGCTTCGCCATAAGCCTGAAATTGCCTGACCGTGTCGAGCAGCAGCGCCGGCGTCGGTTCGCTTTCCATATGCAGCCGGCGCAACACGCTTTCGTCGATATCACTGACCCTGCGTACGGCCTCCAATTGTTGATCGTCCAGGCTATCCACCACATGCCCCAGCCTGCGCATCAGCTTCGGACCGTGCCAGGTGAGCGGCTGCTCATCCTCCAGCGACCAGGCGCCACTGCCGTTATGTCGGGCTTCGGGCTGATACGCCTCAGGCCGCAAGGGATGATGAATACGGTACTTGCCGGGATACGACTCGCCCTTGAGGGCGAAACGCTTGCCTTCCACGGCGAGCACTTCCCGGCCCTGGACCCGATGCAATCCCAGCGCATTGGGCGTGGAGCCCGACGGCAGTGAAACCGTCGACTGATACGCCTTGAGATCCGGCTTCCACAACCGCGCCTCGCCGGATGGCAGCGTGACGGCCTTCAGCGCTTCGATAAACGGCGACACCGCGAAGTGATACACCGCACCGCCCGCCGCCAGCATCGCGAGGTTTTCCAGCACATCGCCGATGTGTGCCCAGCCGGCCTCGCGGTCGCCTTCGCTGAGCTCAATGGCGCCTTCAAGCACCTCGTACATCAACTGCCCGGCCATGGCTACGGCCATGACCGTGCCGAGGGCGGCACCGCCATCGCCGCCAGGTTCAGGGCAAACAGGCCGATGTTCAGGTAGTGCGCCAGGCGCCGGGAGCGGTTGGCGGCATCGGCCTGGGCGGTGGGAACAGCCAGGGTCATGCCGTCGTCGAACAGGCGCTGGATCGCAGCGTCATAGTCTTCAGCCCACAGGTCGACATCGACCCAGGCGCCCTTGATGGAGTCGGCGTTGATATCCAGGTTCGGCCCCTCAAGCGCCACCCTCACGCGGTGCCTCGGATCACCCTGCAACGACGCAAACGGCCTGAGCTTCGGCGCCAGCAAATCAACCCAGAACTTGCCCTGCTCGGAGCGCAGCCAGGTCTTCCACCAACTGCTCGGCGGTGCGTCCTGCACCGCCTCGGTGAAACGCCGGTAGTAATGGGCCAGGTCTTTGCGGGCGACGAATCGGGCGAAGAATTGCTGATGCTCCGTCGGCTCGACCATGGCTGGCCGAGCGGTGCCCGATGTTGGCCAGGCGGTCAGCCGCCGCGTCAACTCCTGCTCGAATTGGTCAAAGGATTCGTAACGCTTGATCGGGTGTTCGGGGTCATCGGGGATGTAGGCGATAAACCAGCTTGAATAGCGCTGGTACACACACGGGTCGATGATCAGGCAGCCCTGCAAATGCAGGTGCATCATGCAAGGCCGGCGGTACCAGATCTGCTTGTCACCGAGCATGATTTTGCGCTCGCCGCTGGCCACCCGCAGCAGCAACGCGTAGTCGTCCTGGCCAATATCGTGCTTGAGCAACGCAAGGTAAGCCGCGGCCTTGAACGCATCCTTGCGGCGCGTGATATAGCGCTCGCGCAGCAGGTTTTGAGCGACGGTCTCGGTGGGACGCAGAAACGTGGTGAGGTGCGCCTGGTATTGCTGGCCCAGGTCCAGTCTCGCGACAGAGCGTTGCAAACACCTCGATTTTCAGCGTGGTGTTGAAGCGCTCAAAGTGGCCGTTGGCATCCGGTGCGGTGATAAACCCCGAGGCGCTGTCGAAGAACCCGGCGCGGGTTTCAGGCGCTTCAAAGTTGTTCAGCGCCGCTTGCAACAGGGAAAACGTCTTGGTCTTAAACCCGCCACTGCCGACACCAAAGGTGTCTTCCGTCGGGACGTAGAGCCGCAGGCAGGTCTGGTCCACATCCAGCGGGAAGCCTGCTGCCGTCAGCGCAGCCGCCAGCAGCGGCCGGGCGAAATCGTTGACGTCCTGAATCTTGTCCATGGACTGCGCCAGCGCCGCGTGGGACTGGATGCTGGCGTCGAGCAGGGTCTGGAGCTGGCTTTTCTGTGCCGGGGCGGGCAGCGGCATACCAGTCGGGAATGGCCGGCTTGACCTGGCGCACCGAGGCGCGCAACGCCGGGGTGGCGTGGATCAGGCTCTGGGGAATGGCAGCCTTGATGAGTTCATAGTGACGGCCCTGAACGCCGGGAACGGGCGCCCCGGAATCGGGCGTTTGAGCGGTTGGCATACACACCTTCCTTGGAAGAGGAGAAAGGTGATTACCTTAATCACACCGCTTCCAGGGCCGGGCGTAACTATGTAGGGGCAGGTAGCGGGCAGCGCTTACTCGACGACAGAGGGCGGCTCTTAACCGCGGCTTGAGCATCTGGTTTTCGGCACGCAGTTGCTGCACTTCTTCCAGCAGGCTTGTGCGCCAGGGCAACGCCTTCCCATTC